AAGGTGTATATTATCGGGGTACCTGGGTGGCTCAGTGGGTTAAAGCCTCTGCCTTCTGCTCAGGTCATGATCCCAGGGTCCTGGGATTGAGACCCGCATCGGGCTCTCTGCTTGGTGGCAAGCCTGCTTCCCTTCTTCTCTCTCTGCCTGCCTCTCTGCTTACTTGTGATCTCTGTCTGTCGAATAAATAATAAATAAAAAATCTTAAAAAAAATAAATAAAAGGTGTATATTATCAATATGGCTTGCCACTGTTGATGTTGACCTTGACTCCTGTACAGATTAACATTACTCATATACTACTAAATGGAACCTTCTGTCTTTCACATCAAAATGAACGTCTGGTTCCAGTTTAGAACAGTGAGTGTTCCCAGTTAGTTTGGACTTGAGCTACCTAAACACATAGATGATTCAAAAGAAAGATCTGTGACCTTCACACCAGCCATGGGTGTGGAAGGAGGTACAGGGTGGAGAGGAGTGAGGATGACCTGCCCATTTCTACAGTATGCCAAACCCATGGGGGAGGCTTGCCAAGGGCCAAGGTCAGCTGCCAAACAGGGCCAAATGCCCAGTCTTCTTCCTATTCACTGGTGATGACCTTTCATGGTACGGCTTGAATTTTCAATCCTCTCTCCTCTCCAACTGCCTTCCTGATGGTGGTGACTCACCCCCCAGCACTCTCAGAGGAAATAGGAGTCCAAGGAAGCTAGGCCAGAATACAAGGGAAAGAAAAAAGAAGACAAGGATTTACATTTGACAAGTTCACCAGATGATGTCTACCTGCCTTTCTGTTACACTGCAAAGTTTTGGTGGATTCTTTCTTTCAATAATCAGACAAGAATTCAAATTCATTTTCTTTGGATGGAATTAGGATTCTGAGTGTTGCTTTTCTTTTCTATTTATTCTGATAAATTAACTCATTCAAGTAACTGAACTGGACCACACAAAATAGTAATAAACATATATTATACAATTATTACTTTAGGCAACATTTATTAAACATTTTATGATGTACCAGGAGCTATGCTAATTATTTTACGTATATAGCTCATGCAATTCTCAGCAACATGCTGTGGTTGTTAGCTCTGTCTTCTATGTAATTATACGTAGCATAGGAAGGTTAAGTAACTTGCCCAAGATCACATAGCTAATAAGTAGCCAGGAAAGACAGGAACATAGTCTGACTCCTCATGCCATATGCTATACCATTTAACAAACCAGAGCTCCATACTTCTACACAGCTCAGCAAACCACCAGACCACTACTCCATGCTCCTACACAGCTCAACAAGTCCCATACTGTATCATAGTATCTACAATGCTCTCAGCAGCCTGCAAGATGCTGGGAATAGGTGGATAAATAAAACAGAATCCTGGCCCAAAAGATCTCACTCTTGCTTCACTTTTTCCCAGAAGTGCAAGGGATCCAGAAGTCCCCACAGGCCCAGGAGCAGATTCAGGGCTGCTGGGGGAGTTGACTGTCCAAGGAGACCTCAGGTCAGGATAAAGAACTTCAGGCTGTGGTGATTTTGAGACCAAGGGAAATGACCATGGAATTTGACCATGATCCAAAATAACTAACAATATTCAAAATGTTGAGTAGTCAGTCCCAACCCATTAGAAAAGACATACAACCATCAAGATGGAGGACACGGCCTATCGGCCAATCCAAACAGCAGCAGATAAGAACAGGTAGGAGGGACTGAACATTAGCCCTGAGACAACCCTCAGAGATGGAGCAGTATGTGTCCAGGAGATCCCTGAAAATCCTGCTGCTCTCAACCTTCCCCATCTCAGGTGGATGTCAGTTCCAGTTTTCTAATTTTTAGGCCCAAAACTCAGAGTTGTCCCTGTCTCTTCCCCTTCTCTCACATCTTGTCCAATCCATTGGCAAAAACCTTTGGCACTACCTTCAAAATATGTTCAGATTTGAACCATTTCTCACCACCTGCTGTGCCGCTACCCTGACCTAACCCACCATCACCTCGGCTTGGGTAGTTACAACAGCCTCCCAGCAAGGCTCGCTGCTTCTATTTTAGATCCCCTGACAGTCTTATTCTTAACACAGCAGGTCATTTCAAACCAGCTGAATCACGCCCCCAGAGGTCTGCGGCAGTTCTCCATCTCACAATAAAAGCCAAAGTCACCATAGTGCCCCACGAGGCCCCGCCGGGCTGGCTCTCACGACACCTTTCTGACCACAGCTCCTGTCCCTCTTCCCTTATTCATTTTACTCCAGCCACACCCACCTCCTTAGTGTTCCTCGAACATGCCAGATACATTCCTAGGTTAGGGAAAACAGGATCAAAGTTCTCCTTCCAGGGTGATCTTGTCCCAAGCAAGTATTTTTGAGGGCTAAGCTGAATTGCTATGTCCTGGATTTTCCTGGTAATGCTTAGCTGCTAACTAAATCTGATGCTGATGTATGTGGTTTGCATTAGCACAAAGAGCATTTTCTGCAAACACTATTTGAGACTTATAATTGCCTTTTCTTTTGAATGTACTATATTTTAGTTGTTTGAGTATCATTATGTACTCTTGTTTTGCACAGAATTTTTTTTTTTTCAGTGCTCAAGTTGTTAGAGTCTGGCCAATGTGAGTCCCCGAAATCTCTGCAAGCATTTATGCTTTTTCACAACAATGAGATTTTCCAACCCATTTCTACTTTCTGCTCCAAACAGAGTCCGAAAGCCAGCCACTCTCCAAGGAGCCCTGATTCCTTTTAGTAGAAAATAATATTAGAGGGGTGCCTGGGTGGCTCAGTTGGTTAAGCATCACACTCCTGGTTTCAGCTCAGGTCATGATCTCAGGGTAGTGAGATAGAGACCCATGTCAGGCTCTGCTCTGAGTGTGGAGCCTGGTTGGGATTCTCTCTCCTTCTCCCTCTGCCCCTCCCCACTCACAGTCACTCTCTCTCTCTCTCTCTCAAAACAAACAAATGGAAAACTTTGAAAATAGTATTAAAGTATTTGAAAATCTTGCTGCTATAGGGATCCATAGCAGACTGCTCCCTACAAACACAGGTGGAGGCAGCATCACTAACAGATGACTTTACTGACAGAAGTGGTACATCTTTCAAAGATTCCATCAGTCAGGATCCAGGCAGGAAAACAGCAATCACACCAGGAATTTCCACTAGATGAAAGATAATATAAGCAGTTGATTACAAAGGTGTCAGCTAAGTGGGTGGTGGGGAGGTGTAGTGAAAAAGGGATGCTGAGGTAAATCAGAGATTAATAACCTAGCAGCTACTGCTGGGCTGGGGAGCAAATGGGAAGAGGTGGTATTTCTAGAAACGAAGTCTTTGAGGAGGGCTTGGCAGGGCTGGCACCCAAAGTTCTCTGAGCAGGTGCGTGCTCCATCCTCCTTGAGGGGCGCAGACCCGAGGGAGCTCCCGCTGCTGAGGAAGATGTAGCCGGCTGGTGTTGGCACCTGTGAGGGCTGTGCAGGGCTGGGGACTGCGGTGGGGACTGTGGAGAGAAGCTAGAAGCTGGAGCTAGGACTGTCTGCTGCTGCCAGTTATCTTCTAACAGGAGGGAGGAAGAGGAAAGAAGTCCTCCTCCCCTCCCTTCAGCTCACCCATTTCCCACCACTGCTTCCCAGAACCGCAAGGAGCAGGCTGGCAAGGGAATGCGGGAAATGTGGGAAATGTGGCTCAGCCCCAACAGGCCCAGAAGCGGAGAAGGGTGGGCCTGGTGTGGGCAACAATAGCTGGATAAATAGCACAGAGGTCATGAGGTCACTGGGACTTTCCAGTTAAACTCTTAACTTCTTTCAGTCATATTTTTAAAAAAAATCTTTCGCACTTTCCCCTGGAAAAAAAAATATTAAATAAATAATTTAAAAAATCTTGTTCTGGTTTGAAGTATTTCCTGAGTTACCAGTTCTTCATATATCATATTTCTTATCAATTTTAGTGTCATTGAATATATGTGTGTGTGTGTATACACACACACACACATTTACATGAAACCATATTTAAATATCAGGATAACGTTAATGGACACTATCACGTGCTGGTATCCGTTTAGAGTTTACTCAGGGTCTGACCTGGGGACTGGAAGTGCACTCCCTTTCTTTGTCTTTCTTTTATTGTGGTAAAATATACATAATACACATTTATCATCTTCAAGTTTAGTAGTATTAAGTATATTCATATTGTGCAGCTCTTCTCCAGAACTCTTCTCATGACGCAAAACTGAAATTCTGTTTTCTCTATGAAACAATAACTCACAATTTCCCTCTCCCCAGCCAATGGTAACCACCATTCTACTTCCTGTCTCTATGAATTTGCCTACTCTAGGTAACTGGTTTTAGCAGAATCATACAATATTTGCCCTTTTGTGACTGGCTTATTTCACTTGGCATAATATCTTCAAGGTTCATCTATGTTGTAGCATATGTCAGAATTTCCTTCTCTCTTTTTTTTAAAAGATTTTACTTTAAAGTAATCTCTATATGCAACATGGGGTTCGAATTCACAACCCAAAGATCAAGAGCCAGGCACCCCTTAAGGTTTTTTAATATTCTGTTAGGTACACACATATATACACCACATTTTATTTATCCATCCATCAATAGATAATTGGGTTGCTTCTACCTTTTCGGCTATTGTGATAATGCCGCTATGAACATGGGTATATTTCCCTTCTCTTTGATAATCCTTATATAGCGTTTTGATCCTCATTCTACATGAGGCCTAACCATGTCAGGCCTAGCACTTCCTTTCATCCAAAAATGAAGTTTGAAAATAGGGGTGCTTGGGTGGCTCAGTTGCCTAAGCGTCTGACTCTTGATTTCAGCTCAGGTCATGACCTCAGGGTCGTGAGATTGGGGCCCACGTGGGGCTCCACACTGGGCATTGAACCTGCTTAAGATTATTTCTCCTCCCTCTGCCCTTCCTGCACCCCTCCAAATAAATAAACAAATAAATAAAGTTTACCTACTGCATAGTTTGAGGAAAATCAGTATAATGAAATAATATATGTTTTTATTGTGAGTAAATACCTGGGAATGATCACAAAGGGAATATAATGAAATAATCCAATGTTTGCATGTTGCACATGGTGGCCACCATAGCTGAGGCTGAATTTCCCTTGGACTGCATGGCAGACTCGCCTACCCAACTTTCCTTCTCTCCTTCCTTCATCTGGGTCAGACTTGCATTGCCTTCTGACAGCTGTCTTGGGGCGCAGTTCCCTCCACCCTTTTTTCTCTCACATTGCTACTCCCTGCATAAAATCCTTGTATGTTTTCTTCCATCTCAGCATCTGCTGCTTAGTGGATATGGACTAACACTATAACAAAGAACCACAAAACTTTCATGGCACACAACAGTGGTTTTTATTGCTCATGTTTCTTGGAGTGGTGGTGGGGGCGGCTAGACAGCTCAGCTGACTGGCTGGTTCCACTTCCACGTTTGGGGTAGTCTGGCTGGTAGTTGATCGAGGATGAACTCTGCTATGATGACTGAGGACTCAGCTGTGCTCCGCGTGTCTCTCTTCCCCCCAGGCATGTTCTGATGGCAATGGCACAAGAGAAAAACCTAATGTGTAAACCTATTTCAAATTTCTGCTTGCCTTGGGTCAGGTATACCCATTGGCTAAAGAAAATCATATCGTTGAGTCCAGACTGAGTTGGAGGACACTGAAAAGTAACATAACAAAAAGTCAGGATACAGGGAGAGATGAAGAATGAGGCTATTTTCAGAATCTACCACAATGTCTGTGCCTTTTCCCAATTGGTGAAGCACCACTCTTTCTCAGCTTATAAAAAATTTTAACCTCTCTTAAATTTTCTATAACCACCTCATTGTAGAGTAACTCAATAGAGAGGAATTCTGAACTGCTGAGTATTTACCAAGAGACTCTGAGTTATCCACATGAAGCTATTTAAACTGGAGAAAAACTTCCATGACATTCACTGTCAAGTTAAGACTATTTTCTTCCCCTCCCACAGCCCCCCCACCCCCGCAGTGGCCCAGTGCTGTGGCTGCCCAGAACAAAGATTAGATCAGCTACAGATAGCAAGTAATCTATATTTTCTTTGTACATTACAGTGATCGGTTGGATTTTCAAAACCCTTCCACACAAAAATAGAGAAGTTTGGGCATGATTGTTTTAAAAATAAATTTGAATGAATTCAAAGTTATCCATATGATAACATCACTTACTTGCAGGCCAACATTCTTTCTTAAGTAGGAGGAAAATCTGTTGTGGTTCAGGTCAGTAGCCAGGAACTACATCTAAGCCTAGGTTCACTGTAGTTGTGGGCACTGAGTATAAGCATCATTTGTCATGTGTGTCCTATAAGAAAATGCATGGAGAACCTCAGTTGTAGCCCACAGTGACCTCTCTCTCACTGTTCAAGCTTCTGTAACTCATACTTCCCGGTAATGTTACCCAAATCTCCTGTGCAACAAAATCAAGAATGGAGCCTTCCTACCACACACACCACCACCCCCTTGCCATCATTTATTCTCTCTTGTAAAAATAATTAATGTTTTAAATTTTGAAAAATTTTTAGCCTGAAGAAAATCTCAAGAACAAAACAGTTATCATCCATATACTCCTTATCTAGCTTTAACAGCCAGTTAACATCTTGCCTCCCCCATCACATTGGTCTCTGTATAGGTACAAACATTTCCCCTTTGCCAAGCCATCCAAGAGTGGTGTGCAAACACCATGACACTATCCCTAAATACTTCTCAGCACTATCCCAAGAATGGGGACATTGTCCTATTATCCAGAACACTATTGTCACATCTAAGAAACTCAACATTAGGTTTAACATACATTAACTTTCCCTAATGGTCTCAAAATTTTACTTTGCTTTTCTTTTAATTCAGATTCCATTGGATTGGGTTGTTATATCTGGTTAATCTGTTAACTGGAAGCATAAATAATATATGACTGAGTCCTACCCCAGAGCTACAAAAATAAAATTTCCAGGACTTGAGCCCTGGAATCTATTCTTTCTAAACTCTTTCTAGATGACTCTAATGAGAGTCAAGTTTGATGACCACTGAGTTCTATTTGTAAGGTTAATTATCTTTTCAGAAGTCTGCCACTCTTTCCCAAACAGGCCTCAGAGAATTCTAGGGCCAGGCTTAAATTAAATTAAACTAAATTCTTGGGAGAACTATAACCCATTCTGATTGATGTCCATTTCTCTTCTACCCTATCCAACGTCCCTCTCCTCTAATTCCAACTGCTTCTTCTCTTAGCATTGTACAGGTGGTATGGTTTATGATTTTTGACTTTACCATGATGTGAAATTGATGTGCATTCAGTAGAAACAGTACTTTGAATTTTAAATTTGGGTATTTTTCCCAGGCTAGTGATATGCAGTAAGATCCTCTCTCATGATGCTGGGCAGTGGCAGCTCTGGCTCTCAGTCAACCACACAATCAGCAGGGTTGATGACTGATACACTTACAACCAATCTGCACCCACACAATCACTGCATTTTTTTTCACCAGTACAATATTCAATAATGACAATGGATATTCAATGCTTTATTATAAAATAGGCTTTGTGTTAGAGGATTTTGCCCAGCTGTAGGTTAAGACAAATGTTCTGAGTGCACTTAAGGTAGGCTAAGCTAAGCTATGATGGACCATAGTTTAGGTATATTAAATGCATTTTCAACTTATGATATTTTCAGTTTGGGGACATAACCCTATAAGCTGAGGAAGATCTCTCCTCAGGAAGAAGGATTTAATCGATAGGCTTCGAACACCTAACCCTAGACCTTTTCTTTAATTCTAAACTCTGTTAACTCAATGCCCTTGTAAATACTTTTTGATTGAAACAAGGCGTGGGGTAATGCAGGGGAGGATTGGCTTGTTGAAATGCAGGTTCCTAGGCCATCCTCCAGGCTCAGGGATATGCACTTTGATCAGCTCCCCAAGTAATCCATACTCCTTTTTTTTTTTTTTTTGTATTTCACTCAGTGGACCTTGCAGAATGATTTATGCTCATTAAGCAACTCCGTAAGAATCTGATTGTGTCAATGAATCAAATCCCTACCTGTAGAACCCTTGTCCACAAAACGCAGATACCAGACTAACCTATATTCCCATCTTGTACGCATTTCTTCTGATGCTCCGGTTCACTGTTCTCTCTAAGAAGCACATGTCAGCTAACATAGCTTTAGCTACTCTCTAAAACCAAAGAAACAGACTTATTTCTGTTTCATTCTGCCTTTTACTCCCACTCTGACCAAATTCCCTTTTAGTGTTGACTCACAGTGTTTATCTGAGTCTGCACCTGACCTTTTGATTCTAGGGGCATCTTTATGGCCCCCTTTTCCCTTTTCCTTCCTTTTGGTGGCTAGAGATGATACTAAGGGGAGGCTTGAGAAAGGATCATCAATTACAAAGTCACCAGTGTTTTGACGCCACAATGCCTCTGCTCACGAAGTTGTCCACCACACAAGAAAAATACCTTATTTATTATTTTGGATTTTCACCTCACTTGCTTTGTTTGCCAAGTAATCTGATCTATGTGAAAGGCAAATAATCTTTTTTAAAAGTCACACTGCATCTTCTACAAAGCTGTGTTTTGCTGACACAGAAAGAATGAGACTAAAGTTTAACTTTTTAAATATAGTTGTTATAATTGTTAAACTATCTGGTATCTCTCAGTAAAGGTAAAGACGTATTCTGGAATCCAAATTGGCCTGTGTGGGATACCATTTTCCTTTTTTAGTTCATTCATGGCAGAAGATAATTCCTACTATGTGATTCTAGTGATGTCATTATCATCCTAGTGAAATAATGAGGAAAATACTGAACTGGCATCAGATGTGAAAACAGAACTGATAATATCTCTTGACTAGCAGAAGCCTGCAAGTGTGTACAATACCAAGTATTAGCCAATACATAAGTATATTAGGAGTGATAAACAGTCACTGTTGACAATGTAGGAAAAACACCATATCTATGACTTCTTATATTAAAAAAAATCCATAGCATCGCTTTAGTGAGGGAAATGAATTCTTCTTCATGACAGGTGATGCAGCCATGGCTTTAAGAACATGACTAAATGATCCCAAAGGAACTTTCTAACAGAGTCGTCCAAAGAGACCTCAGAGCGAGGGCACTTCTAGAAGCAGCTGACATATGTGTGTGGATCTAGAACACATGCATGTTTAAGCTTTATGTGGATCAAAGATGGCAGCAAATTCTTTGCTACTCCCTTTTTTAGAGGTGGAGTCTAATTCTCCTCTGAGTCAGGGCTGGTCTTAGTGACTTGCTTGACCACCAGAAGGTGGTCAAGGGAGGGAAGGAGGAAAGTCAACCACTCTAAGAAGTTTGACTACACTAAGATCAATCACCATGCTGTGAGGAAGCCCACACTTGCCACACTAAGAGACAGATAGACAAACAGAAGAGAGAGAGAGATGCCCTGACAGCCTCACTATTCCAGCCACACTAGCCCAGGCATCCGTGGTGGGAATGAAGAGCCATCTTGGACATTCCAGCCTCGGCAGACGTAATGTGGAAAGGAACCAAGGATCCCAGCAGCTCGCCAGGCATGTGGCTTGGGTCGAGCTGGAGCAGCCATGTCCAGTCATGAAGGCTGGCCCGCTAAGTCTCCCATCTGAATTTCTGGCCTACAGATTCATGAGCATCAGAAAATGGCTGTACCTTTATGCTGCTATGTTTTGGAGTGGTTTGTTCTATAAAAACATAACTGGAACAGATGTCAAAGGGAGGATTTATATGACTCAGCTATTGCCACAATGAGACAGCATAACACATGACTCCAAAACTCAGTAAGTTTCAACAACAGCATTTTATTTTTCTTTCTTAGGGGTCCGTGGGCTGCCTGGGATGTCTTTAGGCAGCAAGGTGGTTGGATTTGCAGGAGCAGGCTGGATTCAGACATGTTTCTCACCTTTGTCCTGATGCCAGGCTAAAGGGGCAGCATCTACCTGGGACGTGCCAACTCGCACGTCAGCAGGAGTCTAAGTGCACAAAACATGTCGATGCCTCTGCTTACTTTATGTCCACTTATTTCATTGGCCAAGTAGGTCATATGGTTAAGCTCAAAATCAAAAGGGTAAGTAAATATACTCCTATCCAAGTGGGAGAAACAAGAGAGGAAATACTTACCGAGCAGTACTCCAGCCTATTGAGAGTTTCAAGCACCTAATGATGGTGGTGGTGGTGATGGCGAGTGGTATCAGACTGCACCACTTGCAAGGTATTTTGTAATGTGGTACTTACACATCTAATATCCAGAGAAAACACATGTAAGTGTTGTAAGGGGATGTGTCTAAATATAAGAATCAATGATTTTTTTGTACTAAATACTGGCAGGGAGGAGGCATGTAAAATTATGAAAAGATGAAAGAAATGTAATGGAAGTGCAGAAGGGGAGGAATTAAGAAAAAAAAAAGGGGAGAGAAAAAGAAAGCAGAAAGTTAAACCCTTCAGCAACTGTTGGGGAGGCTAGGAGCCGATAACCTGTTTCTTGATTTGCCTCCCGTGGAGGCAGAGCAGCTCCAGGGCAGCCATTCCCCAAAAGAAGCCCCCAGACACCAGCTCCTACTTAAAGAGAGGGGTTTCTAGTTCAAACATGAGGCACGGCATGAGGCACTCCCAACACTGCTCTCCCACCGGGCACCACACTTATGTCCAGGGAAAGTGCCAGCACGGCAGGGCGTTCCTTAAGGCAGGGCTTTCCTCACTCCCAATGGAGGGTTGACTGTTAACACAGCTCTGGGGTGCACAAAAGTGTGGGCAGCAAGCACAGTGGGAGCAAGGGGGCTGCAGAAAGGCTTTGGGAGAGAAGTGAACTGGGGCTAAGTGCAGAGGCAAGAAAAATGTGGAAGCAGCACACAGCCCTGTGTTTGTAGCATGCCTATAAGGTACAAGCCTGGCAGAGAGAGCCAATGTCAGATCCTGGTAGGTCTTCAATGCCAGGATGAAGAGCACATTCTTAATTTAGTGGGAGCCACTGAAAGCTTTTGAACAAGAAGTGGTATGGAGGAGTTGCCCTAGAATCCATCCCTTCCTGCTTCTTTAGTAACAGAAGCACCAGTCTTTTAAAAAAAATTTAAATTAATTTATTTATTGAAGTACAGTGGACACACAGTGTCACATTAATTTCAAGTGTACAACATAGTGATTCAAAAAGTCTATATGTCAAGCTGTGCTCACCCCCCCCAAGTGTAGCTGCCATCTGTCACCATACGCTATTACAATAACATTGACTATATTCCCTACACTGTCCCTTTTATTCCCACAACTTACTCATCAGAAGCACCAATTTTTAACTGGGGATATGCCTGTGCAAAATAAAGACATTTCTTAACTTCTCTTACAGCTAGGTAAAGTCATGTTGTAAATTCTGGTTAATGAAATACAAAGCACATAGCATGAACAACTTCTAGGAAATGTTCTTTTTTTTTAAATTTTTTTAAGATTTTATTTATTTATTTGACAGACAGAGATCACAAGTAGGCAGAGAGGCAGGCAGAGAGAGAGAGGAGGAAGCAGGCTCCGTGGTGAGCAGAGAGCCCGATGCGGGGCTCCATCCCAGGACCCTGGGATCATGACCTGAGCCGAAGGCAGAGGCTTTAACCCACTGAGCCACCCAGGTGCCCCTCTAGGAAATGTTCTTAAAGGGAGAAGACATTGCTCCTTCTTTTTTTCCTACTGGAAAAGTGGAACTTAATCCTAACATGTATATTATTCATTAGGAAGACTGGCCTCTGGCAAGGCAAAATATAGAAGAGCATTGGAGGGGCGCCTGGGTGGTTCAGTGGGTTAAAGCCTCTGCCTTCAGCTCAGGTCATGATCCCAGGGTCCTGGGATCTAGCCCTGCATCTGGCTCTCTGCTCGGCAGAGAGCCTGCTTCCTCCTCTCTCTCTCCCAGCCTCTCTGCCTACTTGTGATCTCTCTCTGTCAAATAAATAAATAAAATCTTAAAAAAAAAAAAGAAGAGCATTGGAGATGGGAAGACTAATTAGGAGAACATTTTGGCAGCTGAGATAACAAGTGAGGAAATAAGACCTGAGCCAGGATGGTAGCAGTGGGGATGGATGGGAGGCACAGATGTGATAAATATTGCGAAAGGACTGTTTGTGGGACTTGCCAATTGATCAGAAGAGAAGAGACACTAGAGAAGGAAGAACCAAAGGTCACCTGAAGCTTCATACAGTAATGGTCAGTAATGTTAGTAACAGAAATAAGGGGTCCAGAAGGATGAGGAGCCTTGAGGAATGCCACCATGAGTTTGGTTTTGGATATGTTGTGTTGGTATGCCTGCAGGATATTTAGGTGGAGATATAAAGCAGGTAACTGAAAATTCATTTCCAGAACATGATTTGAGAGTCCTTTGGTTAAAAGTGGTCATCAAAACAAAGGGAGGGGCTGGTTGGCAAAATAGAGAGTGTATCTGTAGAAAATCCTTTCTTCAGTGCACACAGAGAAATAAACTGTGTTCTGAAAACATAAAAATATGTTCACATGCTCCCCTCCCTCCATCAAAAACAAATAAACAAAAAAACCCCCTGCAAACTCCAACCAGTGGCTGGCTGGCTGGCTGGCTTCAAGCAAGGAAATCCTCCCTGATCTCAAAATTTGGACAGCTCCTTAAAGTTCCTTAGGAAGGCATTTTGATTTGCACGAATATCTGTCATGACATGTTCTAAGATGACTCCTTTTCAGCAAGAGATCTAGAATAATTGCCTTCCTCCTTAACTCAGTTTAGCCACATGTAAGAAGACTTCTTTTTCACAGAAGTCTTAAAAGACCAATTCCTTTCAAGCGCAGCATGAGAAAATATGAGAAAACTAATACATGTGACAGAGGTAGTAAACGACTCTGCAGAGGTCTCTCGTGTATCTGCCATGACCGGAGCAGATACTAATTAAAGGTTGAAATAAAAAGGAAATGAATCGAATGTTAACATTAAGAAACCATCTTTGCAGGCTGGCTAACCACTGTATATACAGTTTTCCTGCCACGGCTGGGGTCCGGGAGATGGAAGAGGTTAAAATCCTGTGGCTTGTCTACTACCCAGTAGAAATGCAACTGGATGTGGTGGCGAGAGAGCCATTGATTCTGTAGGAGTTTTGCGTCTTCAGCCTACATACAGCCCCCACACACAGCCCGCACACAGCTGTGGGGCAACCAAGGGCCTATCCCGGAGGCTTTAAGCCCCTCTGCCTAGGAGAGCGCGAGCGCGCGCTGGCGAGCCCGGGAGCTGGGTTTGGTGCCACCTGGGATCCCGTTTCACTTACAGCTGAGGCTTTGTCAGAGCCCTTATCGAACGTGGGATAAGGTTTTTCTAATTCATCCATCACCCATCTTCCGTCTCAGGGCCAGGCCCGCGCTGGGCACCCGGCGTGCTTTCTCGTACAGGACTCCTGGAGGAGGGGTTTTAGGCTGGAGGAGGACACGACCGGAGGACCGTCCGGGGTGGGGGCCTAGCCGCACGCGGCCCTTTTGCAAGAGAGACCGGTGCGTTTTCGGACAGACCGCGGGGGCGAAGACGCCCACCCTGGAGGGAACCCTTCCCCTCCCACAATCCTCAGGACCAAAAACGTAGCTGGGTTCCACATTCTCCCGGGCCTTCTGACTCCGAAGGCCCAGACCCTGGCCAGCCCGAGAGGCCCTGGCAGGTGCCAACGAGCCCGGGCCGTCCCTCAGGCCGTGCCCAGCCGCGGTCACCCGGAGCCCGCTCCAGTTAGCTGGGCAGGGAGGTGGCTACGGGCGCCCGGATTGGCCGGCCCCCCAGCGGCCCCGGCAGCGCCCCCAGCCCTGCCGCCCCTCCCCCCGCGCCGGCAGCCTTGGCGAGGGGCGCCCGGCGGCGGTTCCCGGCGCTGATTGGCCGAAGCCGCGGGGGGGCGGGGCGGCGGGTGTGAAGGGGGCGGGCTTGGGCTGCTCCCGGCTCCCTCCCCTCTTCCCATCTGCGTCCTCTCTCTCGGCTCCCGCGTTGCATCATCTCCAGCTCGCGGCTGCTGTGGAAAGGTTGGGCGCGGCGCGAACCACTCAGGCCGGGGCTCCAGCCTGCTCTCCCTCGCCTCTCCTGGTCCTTTCCCCACCTGCTTCTGCACCCACGCCGGGAGCTCCCCGCGGGCCGGCTTAACCCGCGAGGTACAGCCGGCGGACGCTCTGCCAGATCCGTTCATTGAGATTCCCAGCTTATCCCAGAGCCAAGTCCCCCGCCTCCTTCAGCTTGGGGCCGCGGGCAGCGCCATGGAGAAGAGTAGCGAAACCAACGGCTACCTGGACGGCGCCCAGGCAGGGCCTGCAGCAGGGCCTGGCGCGCCGGGATCCGCGGCGGGACGCGCGCGGCGCTGCGCGGGCTTCCTACAGCGGCACGCGCTGGTGCTGCTCACGGTGTCTGGAGTGGTGGCGGGCGCCGGACTGGGCGCAGCGCTGCGCGGGCTTGGCCTCACCCGCACGCAAGTCGCCTACCTGTCCTTCCCCGGCGAGATGCTGCTCCGCATGCTGCGCATGATCATCCTGCCGCTGGTTGTCTGCAGCCTGGTGTCGGGCGCCGCCTCCCTCGACGCCAGCTCTCTCGGGCGCCTGGGCGGCATCGCCGTCGCCTACTTCGGCCTCACCACGCTTGGCGCCTCGGCGCTCGCCGTCGCTTTGGCGTTTATCATCAAGCCCGGCTCTGGCGCACAGACCCTCCAGTCCAGCGACCTCGGGCTGGAGGAGTCGGGGTCCCCTCCGGTCCCCAAAGAGACAGTGGACTCTTTCCTCGATCTGGCCAGGTAACGCCCCCCACCCCTCGCCAAGTGCACACAGTGAGCTCTCTAATGCACTCCAGCGCGCGCGCGGGCACGCACGCGCGCGCACACACACACAGACGCGCACACCACCCTCATAAATTGCTAAGAGTTCATTCTTAATCTGCTGCGGGTGATGAACCAGCCTACCGTTAGGCGGAGTGTGTGTTAGGGAAAAGACAGTGTCTCACCTATGCTGTGCTCCTTATACCATCTGGCTGCCCTTACCAGTAAAAACGTCCCAACCACACCCCAATAGCTTCACCCTGTTTTTTTCCCCACGATGCCCGAAAGCTTCTGGGAGCATTAGTTAGATTTTGCCTGTATCATCCTCAGCTGTAATCTCTGGACTTCCCTGTTTCAGCCCTTTGGCTGAGAGGAAGGTGGCAATTTTTGAAGATTTGTCATTGGACCCAAGGATAACGAGGCTGGGGTTAGTGGTATGAGGCCCACTGTCCAGAAACATGGCTCTCTGGAGGACTTGGGACAGGTTGCTGGCCACCCCATAGTCAGGACCATTGTAGAATACTGTGAGTTTCAAGGAGCTTTATTTCTGGAAGGGTGAGTTCTAGAGGGGAAGGAGTTGGCTTGCTTTTTGTGACTCCCAGAAGTTGCATTTTATCCCTTGAGATGCAGTGTTGTTTCTGGATTTTCCGAAGCCTCAGCCTCTCTCAGTTTCTCCGTTAGCCCAGAGTTCACAGATGGGAAAATTGCAGACTGGAGGAATTTACCGTCCTGGCCAAGTTCAGCTGAGTGAGGAGCTCAGTTGGCTCCTTCTCCAGGTTTCCAAAAATTCTGGATTCGGAGCCTTGGAGGTATGTTTTGTCTGGAGTCACTGAGGCAGAGTTCCTCATGGCTGAGGCTGTGAAAAACAGCAAACCCTGGGCAAAGTTACTTGGCTTCCTGCTATTTCCTTTTCTCCCTCTGGAAAATGTGATCACTGTCTGCCACTTGAGAGTGTGTTCATTTGAAACTACAAAAACAACAATAAAAAGTCCAAGGCTTTTGTATTAAACACACACACACACACACACACACACACACACACACAAAACCTCCATTGAGGGGGATCAAAAAGTTCTTACCAAAAAGGCAGGTGGAGGTGGCCTATTAGGACTTTAATATGATCACAGTCTTTAGTATCTAGCCCCTTGATATTTGGAGTCTTTCGAAACTCTTAAAAGTGTTGGGGCTTTTAGGTGGGTGCTGAAAACAAAGTCTACTAAGGTTGAGAAAGCCTTTGGCTTATTACATTCACCTATTAGTCAGCTTTCTCCAGGAGGAAAGGTGGTTATGGGGTTAAAAGATTCTTTTTTGCAGGGGTCAGTGACCCTGGAAAGGAAGTATGGATGCCCAGCTCTGACCTGCTGGTGGTACCCCAGAGGGAAGCTCAGTAGCATTCTTTTATCTCCAAAAGAGGGACAGTAGCCCCCAAAGGGGGCAAGATAGGGTGAGGGGTTATTTTATTACCACCTGTCTCAGGAAGGACATCTTAGTTCCTGATTGTGGTTTTCTAGGTTTAGAACCAAGCCCTACAGCTGTTGCTTCTGAAGTGTATGGTGAGTTCACTCTTTGGTTAAGCATCTGCCTTTGGCTCTAGTCATGATCCCAGAGTCCTGGGATCGGTCCGCATCGGGCTCCCTGCTCAGTGGAGAGCCTGCTTCTCCCTTTCCCACTCTCCCTGCTTGTGCTCACTCTCTGTGTCAAATAAATGGATGGGGTCTTTAAAAAAAAAAAAAAATGAAGTGAATGGTAACCCAGCATCATGGCTGAGTGGTCTGTCTGGGTGCAGACTTCTCAGTGACTTGGGCTGCAGGTGCTGGAAAGGACTAAGAGAACCTTTGTTGTGGCTTGTTGGAAATAGGCAGCCTTTCATAAGATTTCTTACAGCCAGCCTCCAGCAGCTCATGGATAAAGGTAGGGCAGGTGGTATGATCCTATTTTACAACTGAGGAAACTGAGAGAGATTAAGTGATTTGCTCAAGGTCACAGAGTGGTTTATCAAAAGAGGGATTAGGGAAAATATGGGTCTTATGCCCCAGCATTCAGGGCTCTGTTTCTCCCACTCTTCCCTCCCCAAGTCAGTTTGCTATAGTAATGGTGTCATGGTGCTGATTTAGTCCAGCCATCTCAGAAATGTTTGCTCTGGGCCAAAAGGGCATCAGGTAAGAATGTGATTTGGGTCAGGGCAGATGCCCACTTGCTCTAAACAGAGGACCTGAGCCCCGGCAGTGAAGGAAGGCCTGTGTACTGCTGCTCTGACTGGCCTTCACCTTGAGCAGCTGGTGAGAGGGAACTGAGTTTTGAGCCATAACCTCAGTGCTTCCTGGGTCCCTGGGTCAAAGTTTTAAATTTACTTCCATCAAAGAAACCCTGCAGATGCTGATTTTGTGGGACTCTGGGCACGTTCCTTGGCAAAGGCAGGGCGCAGTCCTTTCTGCCTGTGGGCACTGAATGAAGTGAGCCGGCTGTCAACCACCTCAATTATCCTGCAGGCCGTCACTGGGTAACTGCCCAGAACTCAAACAGGCAGAAGGAGTGGGAGAAGTCTCTGACTTCTCATCAGAGAGACTCTGATGACCAGGCTTTGCTGGTGGGGGTACTCCTTAGGGTCTCTCTGCTACGATTTCTAATTTTTCTCAAGATGGAACTATAAGTCAGAAAGGAATGAAGCTCATAGACATTCATTATAACTTTTAGAAGATTTTCAGAATGCCATTGCTGAGTGGTTTGATTTCCCATCACACAATGGATTAGAAATAACAAAGGCCAGGGAGTGTCTATGAGGCACAGGTGCTAGAAGCAGGCCCTTTGAGAACTGAGAAGGGGTGATGGAGAGCAACTGGCAGGTGGGAAAGTCCTAGTCTCCTCCTGAGTCTCCCAGAGCTTTATGCCTGGGAACCCAGAACAGTAAAGGACTCTCAGAACTGGGTGGGACCCAAGTTCTCAAGCTGTGACTGTTCGTCCAAAATGAAACAGATGCAGCACCAAAGAGACCAGGAAACAGGTTATGAGGAACTCATTATGGAACTTCTTGGTCCCTAACAAGGCTTACTGATTGTGAGTCCTAGAGCATGTCCCTAACCCCTGTGTCTTAGCTTCCTCATCTCTGTAACCGGCATCCTCAAAGTATCTACCTTGGAAGTTTCCTCTGAGGGTTACATGAGTTAATGTTTGTAAAGCTGTTAGACCAGGGCTGGCCCACTCTGCTTGCTCTGGTTATACACGGAGTGGTATTACAGAGCTATCGGGAAGTTGTCTTTGTTTCACATGAACTTATGGGGATGGCCCTCTTTTCATAGTCTGAAAGAAAAGAGAATGAATGTTGCGGGGAGGGTATGTTTGGGAGAGCTCAGGATGACTTGAAGCTTATGTTTTTAGGTATTTTGGGAACTACATGGAGCTTGGAGAAAAAGAAGTGAACAGTTACTATGTTTTGGACTAAGAGAATCAACACTGGGGGGAAAAGTTGAGGGGGCACCTGGCGGACTCAGTAGGTTAAGCATCTGCCTTTGGCTCAGGTCATGATCTCAGGGTCCTGGGATCGAGCCCTGTGCCCTGCATCAGGCTCTCTGCTCAGCAGGGAGTCTGCTTTTCTCCTTCTCACTCTCCCTCTATGTTCTCTCTCAAATAAATAAATAAAAATCTTAAAAAAAAAAAAGCAACACATGGGAAATTTGGAAAATGTACAAAAGTCAAAACTGAACCTAGAAGAGCCTTCCATTCTAAAAGGGAGCAGAAATTCTCATGTATCCTCTCTGACATTGCAATTTCTGCATTCCCCCCCACCCGCCCCCTGCCCCGGCCCCTGTATTACATATTTGTGGTCTCTAAAGTTGACCTCAATTTTCTTCAGCTATAAGTGGAAAGAACTGGCTTCTAACATTCCCTTGGGTATTAAAATTTGTAGTTTTCAGTTGGAAAACCAGAGGCTTATCTGCAAAGGTGGCAGGTAGGGACAGCTCCTGGGCCCAGCGCTCTGTCTTCACTGGCATCTGGAAGAACGGCCCAAGGCCACTGTCTTTTTTTTTTTTTTTTAAATTAACATATAATGTATTATTTGCTTCTTGGATACAGGTCTGTGATTCATCAGTCTTACACAATTCACAGCACTAACCATAGCACATACCCTCCCCAAAGTCCATAACCCAGCCACCCCATCCCTCCCCCTCGGCCCCCCAGCAACCCTCAGTTTATTTCTTGAAATTAAGAGACTCTTATGGTTTGTCTCCCTCCCAGAGGCCACTGTCTTTTGCAAAAGTGTAGCAGGGCACAGCCCTGTGCCTGGTAGACACAAGTGAGATTTTGCCCATTGCCCAGTTTTTTAGGCTTTATTGTTTAGTTCTTGTGCTCATTTTTTCAACACTGACAGTGCTCTGAGCCTTTTCCTTCACAGAGGGAGGCGTGAGGGACTGACTTTTCTGGTCAAGGACTGGTGTGAGTATGATGCCTTTCAACTTGCAAAGAACACATTTCTTAGCTTCAAAGAAACCTATCAGAGACTGAGCTCTAATCCTAGCCCCTAGGTTGCAGTCAAGAGAGTGAATAGTGAATAATTTCTTTTTTTTTTTTTAAATATTTTATTTATTTATTTGACAGACAGAGATCACAAGCAGGCAGAGAGGCAGGCAGAGAGAGAGGAAGGGTAGCAGTCTCCCTGTTGAGCAGAGAGCCCGATGCGGGACTCGATCCCAGGACCCTGAGATCATGACCTGAGCCGAAGGCAGCGGCTTAACCCACTGAGCCACCCAGGCGCCCTGAATAATTTCTTTTAACTGTTGGCCATGGGAGGCTGTTTGGCCTATGCCTACATCTCTCTTCTATAGGCAAGAGGAAGATTCTTAGCAAATCTAACATGGATCCAAATTAATGGAGGTTTCTCAGCCTAATTAGTCACCAAAGGGAGAAAGTGGCAGCGTGTTATTTAAAAAAATAATAAAAGGTTTTACCTTGACACCTTTCCTTCTGCCACCCAGGAGACTACCTGAATAGTTCTGAGACTGAAAAGAGCATACACCCAGTGAGGTTGTGTTGGGGAGGGGGGGTGATTAAAAGCAGACACAGGGATCAATTACCTGATTTTGAATCCAGCTCTATCACTTACTAGCTGTGTGGACAAGTCTTTAAGCCTCTCTTTTCCTCAATTTTCTTATCTGTAAAATGAGACTAATAATAGTATCTATTACCTGCATTTGTTATGAAGATTAAATGAATTAATACTGGAGTGTCTTGCTGATACTGTCAAGTGTCCCTGCCCCTCAGGGATAGCCCCAGGTCACTTGTTACAAGAATTAAAACTGTTTTCAATCTTACTTCCCGACCCCACGCCAGGGCCCTGGCATTAACCTTTCCAGCTGGAATCTAAAACTGGAGATGGGCCTCAAAAAGAGGATAGATTACTCTCCTGCCCCCTACTGTCACCAGAGTGTGAGCCCACTACCCCCAGCCCTTCCTCTGTTCCCAGCTTTGTGGGGGGTACCAAGATCTGAAGGGGCATGTCCCTGTTAACCGACTCTGTAACAATAAACACTAAGGATAATAAATGTTTAGCAGGTGTACATACCGTGCTATATCCTGTTCTGAACAGTCTTTGAAATCTTCATAAATTCAGTAAAGAATTTTTGAACTTAAATAAGAGGAAATATTTCTGGAACAAAAAAATATACCTAAGCAACAGTAAATTGTTTTCCATTCTTCTCCTATAGGACAGGGAAATGCATACCACCCTTGACAAATAGGATCAGAAGAGCAAACAGTACCAGATGTATAAAGAAGGAACATTTTTGAAGTTTTTCATTGTGTGAGCTGCGTGCATGTTCACCACCACTAACAGAAGTTCAGCCTCCTCTCCTACCAGGTTCTCGGTTTAAGTAATGTACCCAAAGGTTCTTCTAGCACTGGAAAGGCTTGTCCATTCATTCTTTTCTAATTTGGTCGGACGTGGACTCTGGATTTAGAATGGACTTGATATTTTTGCAGATGTGTTTGACTTAGACCTACTCTAAGAAATGTACTTTAAATTATGGCTTCAGTACACATCTACCCCCTCCCTACCCCACCCTCATACACAACATGAAACAAGTGCCAAAACAGCATTTTAAATGTGATACATGCGGGTTTTTTCAATTCTGTCTAATGTATTACATATTTTATAAAATAATGGCTTTAACTAGTGAATTGCTTTCACAGCCTACTAATGTTAGAGAAACTGGTCCAGTGTAGATCTGGTATTATGTAATTTAGGAAAATTTCTAGGGATCCAATAACAGAAAAAGGAAATATTTGAGAATTTGAGTAAGTTGAAGAGCTCAGCGATTTGAAGGCCTCTAACACCCAGTGAAATCGGGTACTGTGTAAATGTGAAGCGTGGAAAGACTATTTGGTCCTTCTTACTCCCAGACTCTGGATCTCAAAACTCTAGATCTGCACTGTCCAGTAGGATAGACACAGCCACAAGTGTTTACATTTATCTCACTTACATGTAAATGAAATAAAATAATTCAGATCCTCCCTAGCGCCAGCCATATTTCAAGTGTCCAACAACCAATGGCTACCATATTGGATGATGTTAGTCTAGGTATGGAGCATGAATGGGAGATGTAAGCCAGCTTAATGTCTCCAGGTTCTTGGTGTCCCCATGTGTTAAATGAGGGTGTTGATCTTGACCACCTCTAAAATCTCCTCCCGCTCAAATGTTTCTTATTTTGAAAGCACACAGAGTTATTGTGTGAATGTGAGCCTAAAGATAGAGCTGTGAGGGGCAAACCTACCTGCATGACAAGCAGCTGATCCCTGAATGCAGGAGAGCTCGGGAGTAAGGAAGCTAGAGTTCCTTCATAGCAGTGTCTGTGTTTAAGAGCCAAAGGAGAGAGGGGTAAGAAGCTTGCAGAGAGGAGATCAAAGCCGGAGGGCTGACACTACCCGACTATATAAGACTTACCATTAAACAAGAGTAATCAGACAGTGTGGTGTTGGGGAATGAACAGTCAAACAGATCAATGGAACAGAGAGCCTGTGTAAATACAGTCAGCTGATCTTTAACAAAGAAGTAGAGGCAATACAATGGCACAAAGATAGTCTTTTCAACACATTGGGCGGAACAGCTGGAATTTGGCCCCTAGATACTGACCTTACACCTTTCACAAAAATTGACTCAAAATGGATCACAGACAGTATATGTAAAACGCAAAACTCTGAAACTTCTGGAAGAAAACAAAGAAAACCTAAATGACCTTCAGTACGGTAATGACTTTTTAGATACAACACCAAGGACGTAATTTGTGAAGAGTGCAGAGAAGTGTATTTGCTTTACTCTATAGCCTCAGCTCCTTGCCCTTAGTATAGGCAGGAGGGACTGTGCCTGCTCTGTGACAACCAGAGGGACCAGGGGAAAGGAGGATGATTTTATGGTTGCTACATCTCACTGCCCTCAGTTGGTGCCTTCCTAGGGACTAATATCCGAGAGCTGAGCTATAGAAAGTGTGGTCATCCCTTTGAACGTATGTATTTTTTTGGTTGTAAACTCTTTGCAGTTAGCACTGTATCTCACTTTTTAGCCTTTTAAGGAGATATGAGATACGATTTAAATATAGTAAAATGCACCCATTTTAGATGTACAGGTCAATGAGTTTTAATAAAGAATGAGTTGCGGGTACCTGGGTGGCTCAGTGGGTTAAAGCCTCTGCCTTCCACTCAGGTCATGATCCCAGGGTCCTGGGATTGAGCCCCACGCATGCATCGGGCTCTCTGCTCGGCAGGGAGCCTGCTTCCCCGCCCCCCTCTGCCTGCCTCTCTGCCTACTTGTGATTTCTGTCTGTCAAATAAACAAATAAAAAAACTTAAAAAAAAAAAGAATGAGTTGCAATAAAGAAAGTCTAACAGCAAGAAATAAACCCCAATTTTATGTAACCTAATCGTGAAAATGACATCCCATCAGCATGCTGTATTCTGTTGGCTAGATGAAAGTCATAGGCCCCACCCACACTCAAGGGGAGGGTATTGTACAATGTGTGACTACCAGGAGTCATTTTAGATTGCTTGCCAACCTGGGTTGCAGTCAGACCTGCCTAACTCTGATACCAAAGGCGCTGCAAATGGTTGCCTGGAGATTCCAGTGCTAGGTAAACAACTCAGCCACAGAAGTAAGTATTAATGGGTGTGTTCGGCACAAATTGTAAATGATTCAGTGTTTTACAAATGGGTCATCAGTGGGATTTTGTTATATATCAAGACCAGCATCCTGCATAGAGCCTGCAAAGGAGGTCCTCATCAAAAACTGTTCCCATGAAGAGATTTTGGCTTCAAAATCTAGCTTAAGTTGACCCGTCCTATTGCCCGCCTTTTACAACAAATATTTTATAAAATCCTTCATCCTGAAATGAAATCCATAAATAGAATTTCAGTGCATTTCAATTTCAGAGCATCAATGTGACTCAACAGAAGGATAAAAAGAGACTTAACTTATAATAAAAATAATGTGTTTCCATATGTAGAGATCCTAAAATGAAGTGGTTAGGCGCTTGCTTCTGAATTTATAGTCACCATTAATGAGACAGCTGTAAATGCAGGCTGTTGCTTGATACTGGTGTGTGTAATTAAGGAACCCAGATCCTAAAGTTTGCCATTGGTGATGTGATTTTCCAGGAGGATGAGCAATTTTTAGAAACATTCTGAACAAAACAAGTAAAAACTCATTCTATGTTTTACACAGTAATTACATTCCTAGAAAATTCAGTGTGTGTTCAAATTGTACCAAAAGACAAACAAAACCTCGTTTTGGAATGAGTTTAGGCTGAGGTCTTTATAAATAAGGTTTTCATCTACAAGTATGTCATATGGGACATTTGGGATGTGTGAAGGCCACACTCAGTAGAATGAGTGGCTGGGACCTGGCACCACCCCCTATAACTCTCCCCCAATGGCAGGAATGCCCCCCAGTTATTTCAACAATGAAAGCACTCCCTTGGATTCCACCAGTGGGCAGTACCACTCCTGTTGAAAAACACTGCAGTAGGGCTTAACTTCTAGGGGATAGGAAAGTGATGCAGTTTTCCCAGAGAACCACAATGGAGATAAGGGTAAAAATTGGTGCGCTCTGAGTATTGTGACCCAGCCAGCAGCTGAGGCATGGCTGGGTTCTTGGATCAAGCGGAGACCACAGTAACTGCTGGAGGGGGAGGGAGAGGAAACACTGTGTGTTGGGCTATCAGGAATGGGTATCCGAAAGTGGACACTTTGAACACTGAATTTTAAGAACACTGACAAAGTGCTTTTTTTTCTAACAGAAACCTGTTTCCCTCAAACCTTGTGGTTGCCGCTTTCCGTACGGTAAGGCTTGATGCTTTGCAAAAAATTAGGAAACTTACAAGGGTGGTGTATAAATGATGCTATGGGGTTATTTAAGGTGGGTCAGAGAGGGGTAGTATTGTTACAAAACTTGGTAACCTGGGCCTAAATTTTTATAGCGTGGATCTTGGAGTAAAAAACAAAGTGAAATAACAACAACAACAAAAAACAAACAAGAAGGTTTTCTAAAATATCCCACTGGTTCCACCATTTTTCATATCACCTGAGAAATACTCTTAAATCACATTTTGGGGTCTCTTAAATATTTTATAATGTTTGAAAAATATACTTTTATCTTTTTTCTGATTATAGAGGTAATATATGCTTATGTAAAAAATAAAAAATAGGGGTGCTTGGGTGGCTCAGTGGGTTAAAGCTTCTGCCTTTGGCTCGGGTCATGATCCCAGGATCCTGGGATTGAGCCCCGAGTCCGACTCTTTGCTCAGGAGGGAGCCTGCTTCCCTTCCTCTCTGCCTGCCTCTCTGCCTACTTGTGATCTCTGTCTGTCAAATAAACAAATAAATAATCTTTAAAAAAATTAATAAATAAAAAATAAAGTGCAAAAACATGGAAGAAATTAAAAATCACTCATAATCACAGCCTAGAGATACCCATTAACATTTTGGTACACATCCTTCAGATACATTTTCTCTCTACATGTGCACACACACACGTGTTAGAAATAAAAATAACTGTATTAACATATCTGTTGGTATGTACACATACTACACATTGTTTTTAACCTCTTTTTTAAGGCAGCATATTATAAACATTTTTTCATGTTGGTAAATACCCTTCTGCATAATGTTAATGGCCCTATTGCACTATGTGAGCATATCATAATTTTATTCTGTCTGTCCCTTATTGATAGACATTCAAGTTGTTTCTAGTTTTACCTAATTTTGGCAAGACTGCGAGTAACGTCCCTGTAGCCATGCTTTATAAGAAGAAGGAGTATAAAGGTCTAGATTAGGTGGACTAATCTCATTGCCTTTTCCAAGCAGACTCTTCTGTTTCTATTTACAGCCTCTCCCTCAATCTCTCTCTTTAAAAAAAAAAAAAATTCTGCTGTGTACGTGGGAGGCTCAGTTGGTTGAGTGGCTGCCTTCTGCTCATGTCATGATCCTGGAGACCTGGGATAGAGCCCAGCATCGGGCTTTCTGCACAGCAGGGAGTCTGCTTCTCTCTCTCCCTCTGCCCCCTCCCCACCGCTTGTGTTCACTCTCTCTCAAATAAATAAGTAAATAATGTTTTAAAAAATTGCATATAAGCACAGCTGTGGCTTATGTATATAATGTAAGGTAGGAAAAAAAATAAAAGTTTTATGGGGTTTTCAGTGCCTGTCACAGAAGGCGTGGGGTGGGTTTTGTCTCCCGTCACTGGTAATCATGGGACAGCTGAACACCTCTGCTTGTCTGAAAGCCTGATAAATCAAAGGTGAGAGAGACCAGACCGCATCAAAGGCAGGCACAAAGCAGTACCCCGTAATGGGCTCCTCTTGACAGTCCGGAACCAGGTGTCCTTAGAACAGGTCAGGAAAGGCATTTTCTAAGATACTCCATTCATTCGTGCATTCTGCGATAGGTAGACCCCTGAGTGCCTTGTGCAGAAGTATGTGAGGTCGATTGTAGGACCCAAGTTTGGAGAGTCATTTTACTTCTGATAAGTGAGTCTTCCACAAGACTTAACCAGAAAACACCATCTTGTCTCGTATCCTTTGCTTTGCAGAGTGGGAACCAAGCAGATTAGAAAGATCAGAAGTAGATGCTGAGGGGAACCTGGGTGGCTCAGTAGGTTAAGTGTCTGCATTTGGCTTAGGTCATGATAATGGGATCCTGGGATCGCCCTGCATTAGGCTCCCTGCTCAGAGGGGAGTCTGCTTCTCCCTCTCCCTTGGCCCCTACCCAGCTCATACTCTTGCTCTCTGTCTCTCAAATAGATATATCTTTAAAAAAAAGTAGGTGCTGAAAGCATTCAGGCTCAAATAAGTTCTGGAACAGAGTGGAACATTATGAAATTAATACCAAAAGTCAAATAGTATAACATGTCAGCTGTTAGAATTTTCAAACTATCAGCATGAAATTGTGCAGACCTTCTCCAAACCATTGTCCCTAATGTGTGAGTCCCTAGATAACTCAGAGGCCTCTTGGGGTGTATGCTGCCTTGGTCTTAAGTAACTTTTGTGTAGTTCTTAGAGGCCCTTGTCAGGCCAACCAAGTGAGGAATTCCTAGAACACTCAGAGTGAATAAGAATAGCAAGAGGTCCAACAGTCCTTTTTCAGTTTCTCTGGTCGGCCTTTACCTATGAACTGACAATGTCTTCTTTTTCCTCTTGTTCCCAGTATGCAACTGATTATAGAGAGGTGACCCACAATACCAGCTCTGGAAATATAACCCATGAGAAGGTAAAGCTCTTTATAAGATCACTTGTGGCAAATAACTTACAAAGCAAATAATGCTTTTTAATTGAGGGAGCATACATGATACATCTTCTTCTCAGCAGGGCCGAAAACTCTGGGGTTTGAAGGAACTATCTGAAAAACATAGATTAGGTTTGCTCCTTAGGTTACTTAGCAACATGGCCAAAGGCCAACATCGGCAGCATTGGAATCTTCAGCAGATCCATTTCATCAAATTGGAACTGATGTCCCTTTCTTCAAAAAATATTTTATAACCCCCTTCTGCTGTCCTGAAATGTAACGAATAGGTGATTTAGCCCATCTCTACATATAGAACTTGTCTCAAAGGCTTAACTCACTATAGCCATCATTCATTCACACATATTTTTTGAGTAGCTATTAATGGCTGGACACTGGGTGAGGTCCCAGCCTTCATGATAGAGCTGGAAGGGACAAGGGACCTCAAGGATTATTTGGTCCTGCTACAGAGCTGTCATGGGAAGAAGAAGGTACTTTGCCCCTTCCCCACCCCACACAGACAGCTTCTCAGGGCTGAGGGGCTCTGCGCTTTACCAGCCTTTCTTTGAGGAGAAGTTGTACTTAAAAAAAAAAAAAAAAAAAAAAGGTCGAAAGCTACTAATTAGTCCAATTCATTTCATCTCACAAGATCAGAGAAGTTATCTAGTCCCAGAGCTGGGATCTATGGTAAAAAATGCTCTTTCTCTTTTTACCATGCTGATGTATGTTTCCCGTTCAGAATTTCATGTGCTTTGATGGAATAAAATGTTTGTCCAATACATGCTTATAGTAGTGAGATTGAGCATTATGGAAACAAAATAAGGAATATAGTATATCTATATATTTTATTTTAAGTCAGTGACTCAGGAAAGAATAGCCTGAAAACCTTTTGTGAAATTTGTCAGGTAGGAGGCCACCATAATAGTCTAGCCACAAAAGATTTATTGACATTTGGGAGGCACAGTTACAATCTCGATGTGAAAGAAATTTCACCAACCAGCTCTTCTTTAATTTTTTAAAAAAAAATTTTTTTTATAGTTACTACTGCAGTGTAGTTGACATACAACGTTATATTAACCAGCTTTTCTTTTAAAAGCAGCCCTTTGGGGGCGTCTGGGTGGCTCAGTCGGTGAGGCATCCAACTCTTGACCTCAGCTCAAGTCTTGATCTCAGGGTCTTGAATTCAAGTCCTGCCTTTAAAATGCTACCTGATAAAATAAAAGTAACCCTTTGAAGTTATTGTCTGACCTCTACTTGAATTCTCACTCATCCGCTGTAAACTTAGACCCTCTGTCCCCTGCGATCCTATAGATCCCCATTGGCACCGAGATCGAAGGAATGAACATTTTAGGATTGGTCCTCTTTGCACTCGTGTTAGGAGTGGCCCTAAAGAAACTTGGCTCTGAAGGAGAAGAGCTCATCCGTTTCTTTAATGCCTTCAACGAGGCGACGATGGTGCTGGTGTCATGGATTATGTGGTAAGTTTGGCCTGCCTGCTACTCTCCCTCTCCTCTCTCTTGCCATCCAGAAAAGAACCCAAGTCTGCTGTGTTAGGTCAGCCCTGTGGGGCCACCCAGCCTGTGGTTGATGTACCATGGGCCCGACTTGATACAGGGGGTGGTAGAGGTGGAGACAGTTCTTCCTCTTGTCCAGGCACTCAGAGAATCAGGAATGTGCCATTATTACCAGTCCCTTCTTCAGCACCCACAGTGACCCGTTATGGTTCTATCCCTGGTAATCGATTTAGTTATGAGGTTCCACCATTATCCATATCATATAGGATGCCCATATCATCTTGTAGGGCAATGAACTCAGTAAGTATGCTACCTGCTGCATAAAATAAGGTTTATTTATCTTAAAACAGTCGACTTCAAGCTTCAAAGGGGCCCCTTCCTATAATATTTCACAGCATGGAAGACAAATTCATTTTCACTCCATGCATACATAAACTTGGAATGGTCTCCCTTTACATAAATATTTCTTTATGGAACATCAATAAAAGCACAGTTGTTTAATAAAAACCAATGGATTGATTTCTGGCTAACAAGTAAAAATTTGACCAGAGGGGTGCCTGGGTGGCTCAGTGGGTTAAGCCGCTGCCTTTGGCTCAGGTCATGATCTCAGGGTCCTGGGATCGAGCCCCGCATTGGGCTCTCTGCTCAGCAGGGAGCCTGCTTCCTCCTCTCTCTCTGCCTGCCTCTCTGCCTGCTTGTGATCTCTCTCTGTCAAATAAATAAATAAAATCTTAAAAAAAAAAGAAAAATTTGCCCAGAGGTCTCAAAGAGACTTCTCAAAAAGCCTACCAATCCCAATGCCCATCCCTTAAAAGTTTTACCTTGCTGTTTTACTTGGGCCAAACTGCTGTGCATTTTAGCTTCTACTTGTATATTGTCCAGAAACATAGTGTATCCTTTCATATATGAAACATTTTCCTTACTGGCAACCCTTAACTATCTCAGGAGAGAAGCCTGGAATTTGGTAGTAAAGTTTGGAATTGAGTGGGAGGCCAAGTCCAGAGCCCCCACTGGTGGTGGTGTTTATCTTCCTCAATCAAAAATTTCACAGTCTGACTCCATCATTTGCAAACATGACTGCTCATATGACTGTTGTTGTTCTGGGCAGAAAAATATTTTTCAGAAAGGAAAAAGTGTTTTCATCACATGTCAGGTTCTTTTCCTGTCTTATTTTTTTTTTTTTAGTCTAAAATCCTCCCAACATTTGGATTAAAGGAAATTATGCAAGAAAGTGATGTTCCTATGTTAAGACATTTGTTTTCAATTTGAAAACCAATTTATAGTCATTCCTTCAAATCGATATACTAATTACATAACCAGGTGTTTGGCCAGGCAGACCCTGCTGTGTGTCTGACTGCCCCTGGAGATCTGTTGCCCAGCCAAGTGTATGTCACACAGAATTGGGGTGTAAAATGACTTACCTGGTTAAAGGATCTTAACCAGGTTTGAGAGGGATCTCCAATAGCAGCTCTTTCTGCTTTCTTTCCTTTGCTCATTACCCACTAAAATGTCAAAGCACCTGCCTGTCCTGCACTATTCTCAGAAATAATGCCTCAATGGCTTAAATACAGGCTCAGCAAACTTGGCAGACCATGTGGTCTCTGACAAAACTACCAACCCTGCCATTATAGGATGAAAGCAACTGTAGACTATTTATAAATGAATAAACGTGGTTGTTCCAATAAAACTCAGGGTGCCAACTCACACATTAAACTATCCAAGGAGGGGGCGCCTGGGTGGCTCAGTGGGTTAAAGCCTCTGCTTTCGGCTCAGGTCATGATCCCAGAGTCCTGGGGTTGAGCGCCGCGTCGGGCTCTCTGCTCAGCGGGAGGCCTGCTTCTCTTTCTCTCTCTGTCTGCCTCTCTGCCTACTTGTGATCTCTTATCTGTCAAATAAATAAATAAAATCTTAAAAAAAAAAACTATCCAAGGAAGAAGGGAGGAGGGGAGTGTCCTAAATTATTAGAAGAAAACATAGGGGTATGGAAACTCTTCCTAAATGAATGCAAAAAGTAAAAGCCATAAAAAACTGCTAAATCTGACTACAGCAGAATACAAAATGTTTGCCTACAAAAGATACATTGAACAAAAGAGGACAATTACTGAAAAAAATTATATTTATTTATATATAATGTATATATGACACACAGACACATATCTGAAAGCATCAATTTCTGGAGGACTGGTACCAGTTCACAAACTATTTATCTGTCTGCAATGAGATTTACAGGGAAATTAAGAATAAGCGTTTAGAAACTTTTGTAGCAATTTCATATTGTTGCAACATCCAAGCACCTGACCACTTTTCTAATATTTTATTTCTGTTGTCTTTTATAAGAATATTGGTCCATGATCAGCTGGATAAAAATACACCAAAGATCATCCGAGAAGCACTAATGCAAGGAGTTCTGAAAAAGAAAAAAGACTGAATATACTATTAGAAAGTAGACAAAGTATGTGAGCAGGTAATTCATAGAAGAGGAAACCTGAATGACCAATAAACATTTTAAGAGATGCCCAACTTACTAGGATTAGGAAAATGAGAAGTTTGGTCTTATCAGGCATTAATAAGAGTGAGGATAGTTTTGAGCAAAGGGTGGGATGTTTAGAAGCATCCCTGGCCTCCATCCACTAGATGCCAGTGACCCCTTCCGCAAAGCTGTGACAACCAAAAATATCTCCAGATATTGCCGAATGTCCCATGGGCAAAGTCATCCCTGAATCAGAAGCAGTGGTGCAGGGAAAAGATTATTCTGGACAGCTGGTGGGACTATGAATTCGAAGAGCTACTTTAGAGAACAAGTTGTTGAAATCTACTAAAATTTAAAATATACACACACCATAACTCACCAGTTCACTTCTTGGTGTCTCTACCTAGAGAACGCAGCAAGGTAGGCACAAAGAGACTGCTTGCGGCATTGTTTGTAATGATGCAAACCTGGGAACAGTCTGGAGGTCCAACAGCAGAACAAAGGCAAGATGATGTATAATATTTCAGTTTTGAGGCTAATATTTAAAAAGAAAAAGGTAAAGGTGGAAACAACCCAGATGTCCATCGATAAAGGATCAGAAAAACGTGATATATACATACAATGAAATATGATTCAGCCTTAAGAAAGAATGAAATTCTGACATGAATGAACCTTGAAGACATGATGCTATGTGAAATAAGCTAGTCATAAAAGGGCAAATATTGTATGATTCCATTTACAAGTGGTACCTGGAATAGTCAAATTCATGGACACAGAAAATAGAACAGTCGTTCCCAGGAACCACTGGGACGCAAGTGGGGTTATTGTGGAACCACTGGGGGTTATCCCAGGAACCACTTGGGGACACAAGAGGTTATTGTTTAATGAATACGTAGTTTCAGTATAGGACATGGAAGCATACAGGACATGGATAGATGGATAGTGGTGATGGCTGCACAGCCATATGAATGTACTTGAAACCACTAAAGTGCACACTTAAAAAAGGTTAAAATGGTAAATATTATGTTATGCATGTTTTGCTACAATTTAAAAAGACAAAATGAGGTAGATTTCCATGTATTGACATGAAAAGACCTCAGAGATATAATGTGAGGTTCAAAATAAATAAATGGGTTTATATACATATAGATGTACCTAAATGCATAGCAAGTGGGAGTAGTTATCTAAAGGAGGGGTCTGACGTGAGTGCCGAAAGGGGATTTGGGCCTAACCTATATTTTAATTTTTTGAAAGGAGAATGCATTCATGAGGTCTATGAAATTTAACATTATAACACTGCTTAGAATATCTCTGTAAAGAAAATTCAGGAAACCAGTGACAGTGGCTATCTCCAGGGAAGGAAACTGATTACTTGGGAGGCAAATGTGGAAGGGACACTTGACTCGTCCTTTTGAACTCTTTCAAATTTGTGATATTATTATATGTGATTGAAACTTACAAATAAAGTCAATGGTTATAAAATTCTTCCTAAATTTATATTAAATTCAAAACAGCTGACTTATGGGGTTTTGTAGCTCCCATAGTTCATTCCTTCCCTTTCTTCTTCCTGTCTCACCATTAAAAAAATCTTCACGTTCGAATGAGTGTTCCCTGAGGGTCATTGTTAATGACTTTTTCCCACGGAATCATGTTTTCCAAACCACAAAGAACTGAAAACTTAACAAAAGTCCCAGCTTTGGCTCAATTCTGTATCACAGCAATTCTGCAAAATAGGTGTTAGTCTTTTGTGTTTCTAAGTTCTCAGAACAAGACTGACCAAGGCTGAAGGTCGAATTCTCAGTCCCAGAGGCTTTGATCTTGAGTTCCTCGGCTTTCCCCTTGGCAGCCCATGTGGTTGGTAGCATCCCTCTCTTAAGAACATAATATTTCCAGTCGTTTAAGCATCTGCCTTCGGCTGGGTGGTTCAGTCGGTTACGCATCTGCCTTCGGCTCAGGTCATGATCCTGGGGTCCTGGGATCGAGCCTCACATCAGGCTCAGCAGGGAGTCTGCTCCTCCTCCTGCCACTTCCCCTGCTTGTGGTCTCTCCCTCTCTCTTTTTTCCAAATAAATAAATAAAATCTTAAAATTTTTTTTTTTAAAAGAGCGTAACATATCCAAGGGGAAAGAAATCTGGGTTCTGATCCTGACTTTATGACCCATGGTGATTTATCATGTTAATTTTACTCAGTTTCACAGCCTATAAAATGGGCCCATCCTTTTCAGTTCCTCGGGATCATTCTAGAGAGATCTTCCTTCTTTTTTTTTTTTTTTTTTTTTTAAGTAAGCTCCATGCCCCATTTGAGTCTCAAACTCCCCGCCATGAGAACAGGAGTTGTGTGCGCTCCTGACTGAACCAGCCAGGCACCTTTAGAATCATCCTAGGGAGAAACGAAGACCACTTAGTTGAAAGGCCCCATGCTGGGTATCAGGAAGGGCCTGGATCTCCTGGGCCCATCATCACATCACTCTTACTGACAGGTACCTGTGCTCATGCCCTAGGTATGTACCTGTGGGCATCATGTTCCTGGTTGGAAGCAAGATTTTGGAAATGAAGGACATCATTGTGCTGGTGACCAGCCTTGGAAAATATATCTTCACATCTATATTGGGCCATTTTATTCATGGAGGAATTGTTCTGCCACTTATTTATTTTATTTTCACAAGAAAAAACCCATTCAGGTTCCTCCTGGGCCTCCTCACACCATTTGCAACAGCGTTTGCCACCTGCTCCAGGTGAGTTGGGTGCTCTCAGCTGCTCTGAGCCATAGTGATGTGGAACCAGGTGAGTCCAGCCACATACTTCTATGGAAGTGGGTTTCTGGGATGCCAGAATGCGGGATCATCTCACTCCCTTTTCCTTCTTGCTCCTTAGAGGTCAGATCATTGTTTAACCCAATTGTGGGTCCTCACCCTAATTACTAAGACCTTTGCCTGAGTGAAAGAAGGCAATCACTTACCACATAACTCCTTACAGGGAAGTTTCTAGAATGATGCCTGCCCAATTCTCCCTCTAAATGCATGAATCACAAAATAAGACCAAGGTATCATGATGAGGAACAAGTGCTTAGCTCTCTGGGAGTCCACAGTATTGTGGGATTATCTAATTTAGTACAAAAGTTGCATTTTGTCATTACTAGAAATCCTTCCAAAAAATTGGGCTTTCCAGGTGTGTTAAAGAAAACTTTCAAAGGGGTGCCTGGGTGGCTCAGCTGATTAAGCAGCTGCGTTCAGCGCGGGTCATGATGCCAGGGTCCTGGGATGGAGCCCTGCATCAGGCTCCTTGCTCGGCAGGGAGCCTGCTTCTCCCTCTGCTTGCTGCTCCCCCTACTTATCCTCTCTCTCTCTGTGTCTCAAACAAATAAATAAAATCTGAAAGAAAGAAAGGAAGGAGGGGAGAAAGGCAGGAAGGAAGGAAAGAAGAAGGAAAATTATCAAAGGATGACAGCACATTACATTCACAAATTTGGTTTTTGCCTCCCTACTGCATGTTTCCTCCCATCCTCAGTGGCTATTTCTGTGATAACGCGCTGGGGTGGTAAAAAGAATTAGGTAAGTTTCTGTGGCGTAGAAACAAATCTGCTTCTCAGCTGTGGCAGCCTCCCACGAGGCTGGCTGGAGAGCATAGGACTTACTCTTCCAGTTATCCAGGAACACAGTCCCTCTCCAGGCTCTCACAGCCATTGCCACTTCTTGGCCAGCCAAAAAGGAAAAAAAGTCATAGTTTGCCTTTTACTTCCAGGGGGGAGGGAGGCAGGGAGAGGAACAATTCAAGAGAGGAGATGCACATATGGAATAAATAGTTCTTTGTTGTCTTGAGAACATTTTGCACCATGAGGCAATGTGGTGTTTCTTGAAATATGAACACGTGTATCCAAGTAAAAACGTAACAGGTAAATCTAGAGGGTCCGATTTTGAATACTTCAGGAATTGACATTATTGCACATTGTGACTGAAACTTTTTTTTAAAGATTTTATTTATCTATTCATGAGAGAGAGAAAGGGAGGCAGAAGGAGAAGCAGGGTCCCTGCTGAGAAGGGAGCCCAATGTGGGACTCAATCCCAGGACCCTGGGATCATGACCTGAGCCGAAGGCAGACGCTTAACCATCTGAGCCACCCAGGTGCCCATGACAGAAGCTTTGAAACAATTCCAATTTTTCCTCTTTCTTCAAGGGAAAAAAAAACCAGACATTAGGATGATGCTAACTGCTCTGTTCCTGGGTCTGCACTGAGTAGTCTCTTAGCCGGGCTGGAAAGGACTGTTGTCACAGTTGGCCGTTTCTCCCTCTCCAGCTCAGCAACCCTCCCCTCCATGATGAAGTGCATTGAGGAAAACAACGGTGTGGACAAGAGGATCAGCAGGTTCATCCTCCCTATCGGGGCCACGGTGAACATGGACGGGGCAGCCATCTTCCAGTGTGTGGCCGCGGTGTTTATTGCCCAGCTCAACAACATCGAGCTGAAGGCAGGACAGATTTTCACGATTCTGTAAGTTCATTATTCTTCATCCTTAGGTCTGGGTCAAAACTCGAGGGGTTTTTCGTTGTGTGTGTGATTTCCTTTGAAACACGTCATGAATACCAATCTCACCATGACTTGGGGAGGTCCCATTTGGAAAATGACAGCATGAATTCATTACTTGAAGAGAGTGAATCATCTCTGAAGGGCTCAGCTGGCAGCATCTAGGGTTGTGTGGTTTTTGGTTTCGAAGCTGTAGCCACCATATTTTGCCTTTCTCTGTGCCCACACCATGCTCTGTATTAATGGCTAGTCTTCTGTGCCATCCCCTAGAGTGACAGCCACAGCATCCAGTGTCGGGGCAGCAGGCGTACCAGCTGGAGGGGTCCTCACCATCGCCATTATCCTGGAGGCCATCGGCCTGCCCACTCATGACCTTTCTCTGATCCTGGCTGTGGACTGGATTGTGTAAGTAGCAAGTCCTAAGGGCAGTGAATAAAAGAATGTCTGTGGTGCCTTCCCTAGGAGCTTGGCATCCTGCTGTGTCTGGGAGAAGAGACACTTCAGACATGCCTTGTGAAGGAGTTGAGCTGGCAAGACAAAATTTTGTAATTTTGTTTATTTGTCAGAGAGAGAAAAGAGAGAGCACACACACACACAAGCAGAGGGAGCAGTAGGCAGAGGGAGAAGCAGCCTCCCCACTGAGCAGGGAGCCCGATGCAGGCCTCGGTCCCAGGACTGGGATCATGGCCTGCGCCAAAGGCAGACCCTTAACCAACTGAGCCACACAGGTGTCCCAGGCAAGACAAAATTTAGGAAAAATTAAACAGTATAAGGGTCAAAGGCCCATAAATGACCATGAAATGTCATTACTGAGAACTTGGTTAGAGCATCCAGGCAAATGGGAGTCCAAGACCCAGGCTGGGCTCTCAGTGCAGGCCCAAGGGGGGGACCAGGGTCTAATGGAGATTGTTGGCTGCATAAGAGTCATAGCCATTGGAGCAGTGAGCCTTTGGGAATGATTGTCCTTGGCCTGAAACATGCGAGGAGTGATTTCATCAAGGGAAATGGAGATGAACCCAGTTGATGTGAGTGGATTGGGCTCAGGGGAGGAGGAGTTACGAAGGAGATGTGATTCAGGCCACCATCACCAGGGCTCCTGTAGAGGCACAGAACAGTGAGTGTTGATTCTGAGTGTGGACTCCTTGAGTCATTTGATACCTTCTTTAGGTATAAATAATACATGTTTTATAGGGAAGGTCACCTGAGGTGCTAATGTTGGACAGTAGAGCATATGGGTAAGAAATAAGCCCTGGAATCCAGGTACCTGGGTTCAAATCCCAGCTTTACCATTTACTAGTTGTGTGATAGGAACTGTTCTGGACTTTGATCCATTCACCTGTGAGATGGGAATAATAATAGAACCTACACAGAGCTGGGTTGGAGATGAAATAAGTTAATATATCCACAGTGCATGGAAGAGTTCCAGGTTTGTGGTAGAGCATAGTAAACAAGTAAACATTTGTGAAAAAAGACACTGCCTGCCAGGCTAGCCCGAGCCAGGCATGGCATCACCTAAAAACTAGAGTCTGGCCCTGGGCTCGTGGCTCTGCCCATTGTGGTTGGGAATGGTGGTTTCCAACTTCTTGTGTAAGCTCCAGAAATTTTCAGGGACTTCTCAGAATCCTTTAGAACAAGGAGGGTGAAATGAAGACCCGCATTGTCTATACAGCTCATTAGAGGGAACTCGGTTCCTTAGCTGGTGTGTTGGACAGGACTGGAGCAGAGTGTTAGAGCCAGCTGCTTCTGTCTGAGGAAGGCAGGCCTCTAAGAGACTGTTAGTTAAAAACAGGGACAAAGGGCACCAGGCAGATGGCCTAGTAGAGACCTGAAGTCACGTGAACCATCCACCACCCCGTAGCCTCTGCTTACACAGCCCTCAGCTTCTGTGGTGCTGGCAGGCAAGTTCACATTTTTCTCCCTTTCTGCAAAATGGGCACTGTACTTGCTCTGAGCCTCAGGAGAGAGGGTGGTTATTGGACTAACCTGTGGGAAGACAAGCTTCTGGAAAAGGACAGTGCTATGAGATGGTGTTTGCCAACTGCCATAGAATACAGGAAAAGTTGAACATTCAGCAGAGACACAGTGTTGAGAGAAGAAGAAGGGGTGTTCCCACAGTGTACTGCTAAGCGGGAGAGAAGTTGGGTCTGAAACCCAGTCTACACTGTCTGTCCCAGCTGTGCGTGACCCTCAGGATGGTGTCTACTCCGCATAGAATACATCCATAGAAAGGTGTTACTAACCTCACTGGGAGTTGTGAAGTGTGGGTGGGTGACTTTTGTTTTCTTGATGCTTCTCTTCTTTCCAGGTTTTCCACAATCAGGGTCTGTTACTTTCCCGAGAGTAAGAAATATTGACCGAAACAGTTTGGAGTAAAGTGAGGCCCAGGCTGCTGTGTGGCAGCAGCGGCAAGGCCTGCCTTTTCTTCCCCCCGCAGGGACCGCACCACCACCGTGGTGAACGTGGAAGGGGACGCGCTGGGTGCCGGCATTCTCCACCACCTCAACCAGAAGGCCGGGAAGCAAGGCGAGCAGGAGCTGAGCGAAGTGAAGGTGGAGGCCGTCCCCAACTGCAAATCGGAGGAGGAGACATCGCCTCTGGTGACGCACCAGAACCCCGCCGGCCCTGCATCCAGCGCCCCTGAGCTGGAATCCAAGGAGTCGGTTCTGTGAGGGGGCTGGCCCCGGGCGTGCCCACCGGCGGTGGCGCCCCGCCGTGTGAGGGCGGCCAGGGGGCGCAGGCCCCCTGCTCACCGACTTTTAGCCCCGTGCAATGCTTTGGCCCGGTCAAGGGTTCGAGGATTATGTCTCCGTGCAGGCATCGCGCTTCCCAGCGGCGACTGGTTACCGGAGACCAGGGCGCTCTGCCATATGGCTTGATCCGTGTACAGGTGCAACTGTGTGTGCTTTGGAAACCCGTCCTGGAGCTGCAGGCTGGGGGCAGATCGGGCTCCCCGGGACGGGGTAGTTACGGCTTGGAACAACGCACAGGAGCCCTTCACTGCGTGCAGGCAGCTCTGCCCTCGCGGTCTTTCTGGGCAAACTAGGGGGCTTTACAGTCCTCTGTCATGCAGCCTCGCAAGACAGAGTGATTGGAAAAATTCCCAAATTCTTACCTGTGGCTGGAATTCACTGAGCTGGTACCGGAGGTGTTGAGAGATTTCTAACTTGGAGGTGTGGCTGATTCTGATTCACTGGTTGCTGGTGGGCTTGGAGGTGCAGTACATTGTTCGGTTGGAAATTAGCACTGTGGGGGTCTCTGGTCAGTTGCATTAAGTAAACAGCTTAAATGCTGAGGTCAGAGAAAGGAGGGGGATGCAGCCAGCAAGGGTAAGGGAAGCACCCTGTCAGGACAGATGGACACACAGATACACACAGTCATCCTCAATCTCGATCCATCCCCAGGGAAGTTTTCTGCTTCCAGGACCTGGCCTCTGACAACACTGTAGCTTAATCCCCATCCAGGCCCAAGAAGGGCCTTTTCCTCCATGATCTTCACATCTAGGACGGGCTGGCTCATTAATCCAATCTTAGAATTCAGCTAGCCCCCTAAAATGCTGCACTTCGCAAAACAAAAATGAAAACACATAAACCCACTTACTAACTGGGGTGGGGTGCCCCATTCCCGGGTCCCCAGGTCTCCTGGCTTTGGCTAATTTGCTGTGGGCTGGGTTTCTTTTCCTGCCAGTAGATCAAAAGTTTAAGACTGGAAACCAAATGTCCCCATTCCTGCAGATACCTGCCGACTTGGTCTGAATCTAGGCGAGGGGACTTTATCCAGAAGACCAGTGTTGCCAGGGACGGGGAGACTGAAAGGCACAAGAATGCTCATTCCCCGTGGCTGTTGGTGGTTCTCTGTGATGTGACCTGCCGCGAGTCCTGGGCCTCACTTTACTCCATTTGTAAAATGGGGCTGATGTCACCTGCCTCTTACCTACCTCAGAGGGATCTGGTGAGGCAAACGGAGTGAATCTGTGATAACAACCCATTCATTTCTTGGATAGCAAATGCTAACAACCTACGCTCTTATGTTTTACCCAAGTGAGACCTTTCTTCATGGAGTCCTTGTGCTCCTGGTAAAGACAGCTTCTCCGAGCAGAACTTTGTTCTCTGAGTGCGGTCGCAACTCTGCCATGCAGCTTGTTCTCTTCATAGATAATTTGCCAGTATCGAGTGCAACCTCTTCCTGATGTTGTTCAGCTACTCCTGAGTGAACCACACCATCCGTAGCACATTTCTGGGTTCCTGGCTTCCCAGACCCCAGGCACTGGCCGGCCACCTCACAACAGGCCATTAACAGTTCCCGGACGTCCCACCGCATGCGGTTTTCTTGTTTTCCCTGTTGCTGTGACATGGCTGTCACCCAGACCCTGCAGAAGAGGAACGCGCTGTGGAGATGTGTTTCTGGTGCTGTTGAGAATGGGAGGGCAGGGACAGAGGCAGTCAAGCCTCTCCTTTTGGGGTGTGTGCCTGAATGGAAGGAGTGGGGAAGAGCCTTGGGGCTTAGAGCTGGCCTGGCCAGTGGGAAGGCCCAGCTCCCTCCAAATCTCTTTAAACCAGCCAAGCCGCTCCCATCCTCTGTGAGGCCAAGAGGGACCAGGAACTGAGCCGAGAGCTGCCTGGAAACCTTGACACTTTGGCTCATTGCTGATCCCCCTTCTGTTTTGAAAGGGGAAATAATCACATTGTTTGACCCCAAATTGCAAATGAACATTCTGCCTTTGCCTCTGCTGTCTTTCCTTCTCCCACATATCTGTGGCTCTATTTGCACACAAATGCATATATGTATGTGTGTCTCCATGTTGTTTTAGCTCTCATCCAAGCAAGTTTTGAATTTGGATAGAAGTGACCTGACCACAGTGTTGTGGCTTCTGCAAACTGGTTTTCCTATGTCTAAAAGTAAGTTTCACAAAATGTTAAAATTAGAGCTGCCCATCTCGTGAGCGCGCCTCCTCTGTCCCAAACCTGACAAGGCAGTAGGCAGAGTGCTGGGCCCAAGAGGGGCTCTTCTATATGAAATCCCATACAACAGCTCCCCTTCCTCTGCGAGGAAGAAGGTGCTGTGTGCCTCCTTGTTTTTCAGACCAGAGTGACCTGGCTGGGGAAAATCCCACTTTCTCACTGTCTGAAGCTATCTCCCCCACTCTTCTAACATGTTGTCGTAAATACTGTTCATCTCTGACTGTTTTGTGTGTGTGACATTTGCCTTAAAACATAGCAGTCCTCAAAATGAATACAGTATTTCTGCTAGGATATGCATGTTCCTTTCTTCCTCTCTTGTGTTCTGCAGTGGTGGTTCCAGGTGGTTCTAGGTTACGGAGCTTTTCTAGGGGATCACCTGAGGGGGTTCTGAATGGATTTTGTTCTGGCAGCTTTTAGCCAGTCTGACCTCCTAAGGCAGGGTAGGCCCGCTCCGGTGGGCCAAGCTGCTGCAGGGCAGTCACTGAGGTCCTGCTGTTTCTGGATGCTTCCTGTTCAACACTAGCAAGGCTCAGTAAAAAGTGGGTAGTTTTGCTATATACCTCCATAAAATTAAGTCTTCTTAGAACAACTAGGTCAACAGGCCTTAATGGAACATCTATAAACTGAGACCCATGCTGGAAGAATGCCCTAGTCCATAGAATTACCGAGAAAGTCCCTGCGTGGGGCACTTGCCCAGGCCTCGACCATCATCCACACCACACCCAGCCCTTTCTTTTATATAATTTCATTTTCAGTGACACCACATTCCAGCACAATTAGGGAATTTAGAAGCCTCTTATGAAAGATTATCCGACAAGCTCATACTGGAAGCCTTAGTTTCCAGGTTCTGGGGCCTCTGAAGAAACAAGTCCCGTTCTGACCTGGACATTTCCAGCTTTTCATATCGTACAGACACTGGTTTTAATTTCTGGCCAAGGCTTAAGGGGATGAGAACAGAGTTTACACAGACCAAGGGCCTGATGGGGCCTGTTACTAAATGACCAGATTCTCACCTTGGAGGACAGCTGTCTTACTTCTTGGTTTTGAAGAGCGTGTGAAGGTTGCGATGATACTTAGTGCTTCAGCTTTTTAATATAGCTGCAAATCAAGAGGAGCAATTCCATAAGCTGCCTCTTCCCAAGTGAGCAGAAAGTGTGCTGTTCTGTGGGCTCACCTGAGCATCCTGAGGGGAACTTCCCATAGCATCTGTGAAGGACATGAGTGACGCAGCAAGGAGTGTGCACTGTCTGGGCTCTGGCCTAGCTCTGCTGCTTGCTTTCTCTGTGACCCCAGGCGCAACAACCCCTCTGAGCCTCAGCCTCCTTACCTCCTCTTCTTTTTTTTTTAAATAAGATTTTATTTATTTGACAGAGCACGCAAGCAGGGGGAGCAGCAGGCAGAGGGAGAAGCAGACTCCCCACTGAGCAAGGAGCCAGGCAAGGACTCAATCCCAGGACCCTGGGATCAGGGCCTGAGCCAAAGGCAGATGCTTAACCGACTGAGCCACCCAGGTGCCCCAGCTTCCTTATCTTTAAAATGGGGACAATAATTTACCAGGGGCATAGGCTATTGTGAAGAGTAAAGGAGTTAATACATGTAAAGTGGCTCAGAAAGGTGCCTGGCACATGCCACGTGCTCTGGAGTGTTGGCTCTCAAGTCAGACACGCAATGGCAGAAAAAGTTCCCGACCAGCCCGTGTTTCTTTCTGTGTGGGCCCATCGAGTAGCATGCTGGCGTCTGATCCCTTGCTCTCTTGAGGAGATAGGAAGATCTCTTTCAGCTGGTCTGTGGCTTTAGAGTAGAGGAGTGTGCCCATTTGGAATATGTGTTCTAGAAATATTTGGATAACTGCTTAAAAAGAACCAGCCCTGCAAACAATCGTCAGCATGCACTCAAATGTGTCTTACTCACAACAGAAACCCTCTACTCATGCTTTCTTTCTTTAGCTGTATCCTTCCAAGTTGCCACTCAGAATGATGGCAACACCCTGTCATCTAGATAGAAATTTGCTCTCCTGGTCAAGCTCAACCCCTCCTTCTCATGCTTCCGGGAGGTGCAGGCAGGCTTTGGTGTTGAGGGCGGTTCTGGTCCACCTCCCAGTCTTAGGGCCTTTGATCTGCAGTCCCCTTTACTTGGGGCTGCCAGTAAGTGAGAACATAGCAAGAGAGAAAATATTAAGTCCTTTGAAAGATGGACAGAGATTTAATCCATCGTGCCTACGTAAGGAAGCCTGCATAAAAACCCAGAAGGGCAAGATTCAGAGAGCTGAGAGCTTTCAGGCTGGTGAACACGGGGAGGTGCTTGGTGGTGTGGGGAACCCCCCAACCCATAGACGCACTGGAATTTGGTCTTAGAATCAGAGCTAGCCACTTTGGGTCTCTTCTTAGCACATGTGCCTTCTTTCACTATCTAGTTAGTGCTGTTGACATAAAACCTCTCTATGCTGCTGTTAGTACTTATATTCACACTTCCTGCCATCTGCCTTTTTGTACAATAAAAGTATAGTCCGTTTAGTATTGTTCCGGACAAGGCTGATAGTGCCTTTCACATGAGGAATCACAGTCCTGAAGAAGAGTTAACATAGATGTTCTTTTCTTCTTTTTTCTGTTTTTTAATAATACCCATTAGTCAGTACATGGAGAATTATCCCGTGTCCTCAGCCAGTGAGAGCTCTCCTGGCATGCCCTATTGTGAGCTCTGGATCGATGAGCACTTGTGTTTATTTTTTCATTTTGAGTCATGGAAGTCAAAGTATGTATTTCCCCATGGTGTTTCTGTTCTCATGGCAATAGCTATTAAAAGACATCCAAGTGACGGGGTGGGAAGTGCCACAAACTTGCCAAGGAAGAGCGTCCAGCTGGATGTCCAGATGAACCCCTTCAAGGAACCGGATGAACAAACAAGACAAAAATCGGCACTTAGGCATGGAGGCCGGGACGTCTCTAATGAACATCAGAGCACATGAGCATATGAAACTGTGAACAGTAACTAGAAGGAAGGGTCACAGGAGACTTGTCACAACTTTAGGGGATTTGAAGAGAAGGATATCCCAATGCATCTCCTTGAGACCAGGCTGAATTGCTTTGATCCGGACAGAGTCCCCTACTAGTCAGTGTTCTAAGTTGCAGACAACAGCATCCACTGTAGTGGCAAAAAGCAAAAAAGCATGATTACACAGTATTAGGAGTACACTGAATTTCTGAGGAGAGGGAAACAGGTGGGTTGTTAGTAGCCAGGAACAATGCAGCTAAGGGTTCTGAGTTCTAAAAAACTT